GTGCCAAATAATTGTAAGGTGTTTCACATTATGAAATCATAGAAACTAGGAAAAAGGTTTGGATGGCAACAGGAAACAACTTGAAACATCACCTTGCAATTCCTGATAAACTACAGGACAGTGTGACATAAATCCGAGTGGCCGCAGGTGCGGCGTCGGACGGGCTGGGCCCTGACCGGGGAGAGCGAGGTCCCTGCCGCTCACCGGGGGGCCGTGGGGAACGGCCTTGGTGGACCCCAAAGCACGTGCGTTCTGTGGGCTAGCGGTCAACTGCGAGGTTAGGACTACACTGAGAATACGAAGCGACTGCCGTCCTTGCTGTGCTCTCTGAAAGCCAACCACACCACCCTGCTTTCACAGAGAACTGAAATGCCCGAGGCAGCTGAGGGTGAGCCCTCCAGGGAGCACGGCACAGGGAGGAGACCCGGGCTCGTCACAGCGCTGTCCTCGGCTCTGCCTTCGCTTTCCCAGGGGGGAAACGTGCTCCTCACACCCACACCACTTCCCCAGGCGCGGCGGAGACACTCGGGCCGCGGTCCAGTGACGCACTGGCTTCCAGTCACCTCTCCTGGCGGCCTCGGTGGTGATTTCTTTTGAGTACACGTGGAAACAAAGATTCTGTTGCAAGTCAAATAAAGCAGCTGGCTCTGCTTACAAAGAGCAGGGGAACCGATGTTAACTACTCATACCACAGATTTGATGATGGGATGGTACAAAACCTACCGTGATTTTTAGCACCTGCAAGCTGCTCCCCTTAGAAACATAACCCACTTTTAACACATCTCAAGAGGGGCGACTTCAGATTACAACAGGAGAGGAACGGTCTGCCTCACACACCATGCCAAGGCCTAAGTAGGGGTGGAATGCAGTGATCACCGCCCCCTAGCCCGCACGCACACAGCTACAATTCACTGGGCATAACTGCCTTTTTACAAGACAGCTCCCTGTTGTGGCAGCAATGTGTTCTGAAAGCAGACCCACTATTTAAATCACTACCAACCGGACCACTGCCTGGAGTTGCAGAGTCGAGTGACACGCGTCACAATGGCCAGGAGCGCTTGTGACCACTGTGATGTGAAAACTTCACCAACACTTATATGCGAACCTTTATTCGAAAAGATTGGATTCAGAGTCTAGCCCTGCTACAATAAAACACAAAAAGTGGACAGAACATCCCACTAACATGTCAAGAGTGCTATTATTACAATTTTTATATATGCGGGAGACACTGGTTTTCTGAAAGCAAACGAAAAGAAATGGAAATCTTCCTGGTGTTATATAATAAATGAAAGTACGTGGAACTGAATTACAATAGAAAAATCAAAGCAAAGCCTTAAATAACGGGGCCGCTGTCTGTGTCCGGCACCACCTCCTTGCCAGGTGCCGCGTGCAGGTGACCAGTCCCCTCTGCACCGGGCTCAGGTGTGCACCATACACGTGTCCAGCATCTCACTGCAGTCACAGGGCCGATGCTCTCCACTCAGACAAGGAAAACAAGTAAGAAGGGCTAACTCACTGCCTGCACCGCACCGCGGAAGTGGGCTAACTGGCCTGGAACCCACGAGCTGGCTCTTCTTCCAACATTCTCCTTACTACACTATGTTTATCCCTCTGATACCAAAATAAAGCATCAGTGTTATTTAAAGATTTAGTCCGGTAGGTGTGGCTCAGTGGTTGAGTGTCGACCCTGCACCAAGAGGTCGCTGGTTCGATTCCCGGTCAGGACACATGCCCAGGTTGTGGGCCCGATCCCCAGTGAGGGCGTGCAGGAGGCGGCCAATGGATGTTCTCTCTCATCCATGTTTTTCTCTCCCTTCTTCTCTCTCTAAAATCAATTTTTAAAAAAAGATGAATTAGCCTGTCAAAAGTAATGTCCTGCCAATAAGATTTCTTTTCTACTGTGGGGTTAACAGTAAGAAAGCCCAACTAAATTTTAACAGGGTGTCATAGGCTGAATTGTAATCCCTCAAATCCACATGTTGGAGCCCTAACCCCTGGTACCTCAGAGTGTGACTGTATTTGCAGGCAGGGCCTTTAAAGAGGGGACTGAGTGGCCCCTAAGCCAGCATGACTGTGTCCTTGCAAGAAGGGGAACTAGGACAGAGACACACACAGAGGGAAGAACTTGTCAGGACAGGAGGAAGACAGTCATCCGCAAGCCCAGGAGAGAGACCCAAGGAGAAACCAACCCTGCTGACACCTTGACCTTGGATTTTCCGCCTGCAGCTTGAGTGAATAATGTCTGCTGTTTACACATGCTGTCTGTGCTGTTTGTTACAGCAGCCCAGGCGACTGGTACGCGCGTGCAGAATTTTATCACAAAGCACTCCTTCAGTGGTCTACCACAAATGCTTAACCAGAGCACACCATTGCCAACCAAAAAAGGGCCAGTGATGATGGCTGAACATTTCTGTATTATTTCTGAATGTATGTGAATTAAACAAACGGACCTCCTAGTTTCCTGTGCCCTGGTGTTTTCTCCCCCTTCAAACTGCTCAGAGGTGGTTACTGAAGTTGTGAGACAATGCAGACTATGAACTCCATCTGCTCATACGTTTTTCAATGTTCAACAGTCTCTTTTCCCCTGCAGGACTGTTCCAAAAAGACCACAATCTTGTCCCTCCTAATGTGACCAATCAGACTGGGGCAAATTAAGACACAAACCCAGTGGTTAAAACTACTTGACCACAGTATTATAGGACAACTCAAAGTAACATTATGGTAAAAACAACGTCCCCAGTAAATAACAGACACAATAAACACACAGTCCACAACAAGCAACACCTTGCAGAAAAAAGGCCTGTCGCCAGGGGCCACTCTGCTTTTCTGGTGGGAAGGCCCACCGCCTATCACATATGTGTAGCAGAGCACGGACAGTAACTACCAGATGTCTTGCAAAACTGCTAAGAGATGATTTCAAGGCCAAAGCTTTCATGCTATTTTCACAATCTCTATCTGAAGACAACTGAGAATGCTGAAGTTCCACCAATTGGTGGGAGACTCGTGCTAACGTCAAGGTTTTCCAAGGCCTTCCCCTGTCCTTTGCTCAGCATCATCTGCTTCATCACAAAGACACAGAATTTTAAAGTCCCATGCCTGTGCCAGTCCTATACAGGACTTCACGTAGTTCACGCTACTTCGAGATCGTTTGCTTCCCCGAACGCGGCTTCTCAAACATACGTGAAAGTTAATGGAAGAGGAAGAAGATAGAAGCGGAGGCAGGAGTCGGGCCAACAATGCAGGTGGCAGCTTACTGACCTCCTGCCAACAGCCAATGTGAAAGAGAAATGCTTGGACAGTGCCTGCCTGTACTTCAGCGCCCCCATCACCACCTGGCCCAGTGCCCTCACGTACAAATTAAGCAGAAAAAAATGCAAAGCCCTATTTATGCAAAATCATCTGCCATGGCAATACCCAAAAACCATCTGCCACTGAGTTAACAAAACTTGAGGATTTTAAGGCAAATATAAGGGCAGAGACTAAGAATGTCTGGCAAAATAATTTAAAGGCTCACCGAATTCTCTGGAACATAGCAGACTAAAAACAGACTTACAAATACATGACATAAAACAAACTAATTACTATAAACATTCTGAATAACATTTTGTGCTTTGGACATAAGAAGTCAAGGTTGTATAAAATTATTAATTTAATGACATTTAAAAGTGTCTTTGAAATAGAAAATAGTATCTACATTCTTATAACGAAAATTATTTACATTTCTTTGGTATACTTCTCCCCAAAATTAAATATTTATTTCTGCAGGAAAAAAAGTAACTTTGGGTTCTAATTCTTATCATATAGAGACATAGATTCCTACATTCTAGTGACTAATACAAAACTTTTACTAGGCACTTTGGAAATAAAACGTCCTTGCTATCAACTTATGATAATTAAGGTTACAAAAAGTGCCCACAGAAACTGGACTCCAGACTATTCCAACCATGCCGAGGTGATGTCCCGCGAGGCCCAGACAGCCGCACCGGGTCAGTCCTGGCGGCCTGTGCCACCCTCCACCCCTCCTCCACCCCTCCGTCCTCACCTGCAGCACAGGGCGGAGGCGTGCCTTCCTCGCAAGGCGGGCTCGGCAAGGCCCTTCCGGAGCCCCGTCCCCCGCTGGGGCGGCGCTGAGAAGAAACCAGAGGGCGCCGCACCGCAGTTCTCTAGCAGTGATGACTGCTCAGCAGTTCACAAAGCGCAGTCAGCAACCACCGGCATTCAGACAGAACCTGCTCTGTTATTGGGGGGGCGGGGGGGGGTTCCTGAAGATCAACCCAGGGTGAGCACCTGTGCTCTCGGCTCTGCGTCCCGTGCTGTGCGGCACTAGCCTCCCTCAGCCACCTGGCCTGACCTCAACCGCAGAATCCGTAAGCCCCACTCAACAAGAAAACACTAAAACAAAACAAAACAAAAACCCGAACCTAAAGGCACATCATGAACTCGACCTTCTGCCTCCCTGACGGGAAGTACCCAGTAGATAACAGTGCAGACAGGTCAGTCGTACCGACATTTCTTTGTCCTTGCCACTGAGATGAAGACTTTTCACTACCGGATCCCACGGACTGGTATTTAAGTATTCATAAAGCATAATAGGCAGCATACAAAGCAAGAATAGATGTGAAAGTATAAAATACATATTTAATTCTATTTAAAACAAGTTAAAAATCTTATGATAAATTAAAATTTCTCATTAATGGCAAATCACAAACTTTAATATCTGGAACTCTATAATATATCTGGGATACTGATTAATGCCCCCTTTCCTTTCAGGTATTATTAAATATCATTCAAATAAAACTTCTATTTCTGTTTCTATGTATATCTGACATTTACATGTGGTGAAAAGGGGTAAAAAAGGTTACTTAAAATCTTAACGTAAACTTTAAAAACTGTTTTCAGAAGCAGGTTTAACACATCACATTTTGCTCATGAGCACAAAATTTACAGTCAAAAGTTGCACATAAAGGGTTTATTTTAAATGTTTTAAGGATAGGATAGAGTTACATCATAATTATAAAAATTACTTACAGAATTAACAGATTTATATTGTTTATACTTCTAAATGCAGAGAACAGGGAACTGTCTACACATTGTATAAAATAAAATTAAAATTAAGAATGAATTCAAGCTTGAAAGATGAGGTCATTGCCTAATTTTAAGATGCGAACACGAGACCTCTGAACTATACACATTCATTCAAACTGCACTACGATGATGGAAAATACAAAAAGCGCAGCATTTCCAAGGAACCACAGACATTACGACCATAATTATTTGTTCCTGTTTTGTCTTTGGAGAACTTTCTTTCTTTCGTTCTTTCTTTCTTTTTTTTTAAGACAATCAGCTTAAGCATGTTTTCAGGCACTACAATTTGTGACAATCAAAACAGTCTTCTAATGGGTCCACAGCGTTCAGAGATTCAAGCCCAATGCACTTCGGGGTTTGGCACATAAAATAATAGAAATGAAATCCGGTTCAGAGGTAACTGTGATTGCTATAAGATGCACAGTCCCTTCAAATGCTGCATGACACATACAACTGGAAAATCACCTCCTGTTGGCACTACATTTGCTTCACCAGTGCATTTTATCCTACAACCACTAAAACAGCACAGTAAGCAAATATACAAAAAACTGAAAACAAATAAAACCAAAGATAAAAAAACAAAAAAACCTAAATACCTTTCACATGCATTTTTCGTTAGTTACATTGAACATTCTACTTAGGATAGAGCATGCAAAAAAGATGGTCTGCGTTAAGGTTTCCTTTGAAGCTTCACGTGGCAGCCAGACATCACACACGCACACACGACACAATAATACTAGCGCAGGTCAATGAGGAAGGCCAATACATTTTATACAGACTCATGTCTTGTGTTGTCACAAGTCCCATGATAATTGTGGAAATTAATGTTGGATTCCCAGAACAGGGAGCCAACATTCAGATACCAGGAAAACGCAAGCAATGCATGCAGATCTGAAACATGAGCCTCACACGAAGCCTGGAATACTCGGCTAGGGAACAGGATTAGTCACAGCGTCAGTAAGTGTGGTTTAAGCCAAAGAAAAAAAAGAAGGATGGAAAAACAAACAGAAAAACCCTTCCCCTTCCCCTTCCTTTACCCCTTAAAGGCAAAAAATGGAACAATAATTAAAATAACAATAATCACTTGTTGCATTCATCTAGAGTGGCAGATCATGTGGTCTTGAAGTTGCTAAAGATACTTGCAAAAAAAAAACCACAATGCAAGTCATTAGGTAATGCCAGAAATGTTTCCACTGACCCAACCCTCGGACACATCCAGAGAACTGTTTTTCAGCCCAAAGTCACTGTGCTGCGTTTGTGCAGTGCACACACTGGACACACTCCCTCTCTGGGCCATGTGTCCACCTGGGTCTGGGGAGCGGGGCTCAGCCTTAGGTTCACATGCAGGTACTCTTACAAGAGCCACTGGAGAGCAGCTGACAGATGTGCACATGACACGGGTTCAAACACAGGAGGAGCATCTAGGACTTGGGTACTCACTGCATGGAGAAGCTCGCCCTTAGCCGTGGCGATGAGGCGCTGGACACACTGCAGGACACGTGGTGTGTCCCTACACGGTGCGAGGGGCTACCGTCCACAGCACCAGGCGCAGCCTTCCTGGAGGCGGAGTGGGCATCACGCAAACCACACGTGAGACCGTGACACTACAAAATCTCTGACGTCGAGGACGGCCATGATGAAGGTCGCACGAACTTCCGGTGTTTGACTGACAGCATGAGCACTTAGCCTTCTGCCCGGATCTTAGGCTAAGATTTCCACTCCCCCCAGGAGCCTGGTTTCACACACGACCTTTATCCTAGCTTTCCAAGCGCCAGGGCTCATCTAAAACTAAGTGACAGACCGATGTATTGCTGCTACACCAACCACTTCTTCAGTTAAAACCACCTTGAAGGAGTAAGCCGGGGAAGAATGCTGTGGCTAAGGACTGCTATCGGTCACACCATGAATGAACATGTGCGACAGGGTCCAGAGCAGCAGCACACTGTAGCAGAACATACAATACCCTACAGGTGTGTCAGGGATTTCAGCTGGTATTTGTCTAGACATTCTTTGTGGGAAAAGCCAGGGGGAAAAAGCCTTTGGACCATAATCATATATATCAGTAATAATAATAATAATAAAAATACAAGTGTCCCAGAGAACTTGTTAGAGGGCAACATCGTCATTCTTCAAATTACATTATTAATATAAAAGCACTATATTCTTCCAGGACCATACCACATACACACAAATGACTATTGTACTGTTGCTTTTAAACCTGTGTACCAAAATACAGATCACTGATTTGCACAAATAATGCACCCAATGTGCGTCCAAAATACACTAGCATTACACGGTGTGGACCAAGCACCTGGGCTTTGCTTAAAAAAAAAAAAAAAATGATGATAAAATATGTAAACAAAAAATGTCAAAGCTTAGAGTTAAAGGCAGCCTTTTATCCAGATTTCTGTTTTATAAAGAGTTATTCAAATCTGGACTTATGGTCTAAAGCCTCAAACTGAAAAGGTGCTCTGAACTCTGACTTCTGAAACAAGCTGAACATCCCCATGTGCTTCCTGTGCCCAAATTTAATTTTAAATAAACAGCAGTAATATATTAAACATGACTGACTTGGGTCAAGCACTCCTGTTAAACTGGAGAAAATCATTTAACCCCCATCCCGATCCACAAAGAAAGGACTGCCAATAAAGTGTTTGTGTGTGTGTGCGCGCGCGCACGCATGTGCACACGAAGATCAATGTGTGTGTGCATATATATCATATATGTATACACACAGATATAGATAGGTAGATATTGATACATACAAATCTCCAAAAAAAAGCAGTAACAAAAATACCAAACTACGCTTGCATCGTGGCAGCAGGGCAAGAGTGTTATCAGCGAAGGGGAATGGATGAGATCCAGTACAGTTTCAATTGACTATGACACTAGCTTAACTTTTACCAAAATTGCCTGTAATTCCCCTCCAAACTGACAGACTTCTTTTAAGAGGAAGGAGTTCCTTACACAAGATGCTTTGTGTTCACATAAATCTGTACTATTCAGAACAAAACCAGTTCTGCTGGCAGAGATTGTGGGTTCGCAGGGACATTTAAGCTTTCATTAAACTGGAAAGCAATCAAGTCTTTATGTCTACAAATTATACATTTAATAGTTCCACAAATTTGGCAAAGTTCATGACGACATCTAGGATGTTTTCACCAAATCGTAGACATAAATATGGAAATCATCATCAAACTTGATGAAATAGACAGACGGTTTGGCTTCTACTTGGTGGATGACCATGCCAGTCCTTTTAGAGCCATCTTCTTTGGCATATTCCACTTGTTTGCCTACCAGGCTGTCCACAACTTCTCCCGGTTCCCTTTCTGCTGGAGGTGAATCATCTATATGTAAATAGTGGGGAAAAAAATGTATAGCCAGTTTTTAGATACATACCAACTCACATGTCTATTTTAACAATTAAAGAAATGTTAATACTCTGAGTTCATCTTAAGACCAAGGCAGCCAACCTTCTCAAGGGCCAAACAATAAATACAGCAGACTTGAGGCCGCATGACCTCTGCACGGACTGCTCGGCTCTGCTGTGTGGTGTGAGAGCAGCTACAGATGACACGTAAATGACTGGTGTGGCTGTGTCCCAGTAAAACGTCAGGCACTGCCCTGGCTGTACAAGTGGTTCAGTCAGCTGGAGCATCGTCCCATACACCAAAAGGCTGCAGATTCAATCCCTAGTAGGGGTGCGTAAGGGAGGCAACTAGTCAATGTTTCTCTCTCACATCGGTGTTTTTCTTTCTCTCTCTCTCTCCCTTCTTCCCTCTCTAAAATCAATAAAAACAAAAAATAAATCTTAGGGTGAGGACTGAGAACAAAAACAAAAAACAAACACACAAAACTTCATTTATAAAAACAGTGTGCTGACCCCTGAGATCTAGACATGTAAACAAATTTAAGAGTCATAACGAGAAATTCATTTGGCTCATGTTTAATTATGGCCCTAATTACCTGAAGAGGTAAGGACTAAATAAAGAAAAGGGCCAAGAAAAAATCTAGATAATTACATATCTTCTTAAAAATAAGTGTGACTTACTCTGAAGTAGTATTCAAAGCAGACAATACCTACTGGGATTACTGAGAATACGCTACGCACTTAAAATGCCTCGGTGTCCTGGTCTTAGAGCTGCTCTATCTTCAACTTTACTGCATTACATATCATATTCCTAACCCAGTTCCAAAACAAAAGAGATGTCTACAATATATTAAAGAATTGGACACCTGAAACCTATATCATTTTATTAACCAATGTCACCCCAATAAATTCAACATAAAAGAAAAACAAAAGTTTTCCTATGGCTTAAAAACAGGTGCTAGTGAACTGCAGCCCCAGACCAAGGACAGTGGGCTCTCTGGGGCTGGCTGGAGCACCTGTGCTGTGTGAAAGGTCTGCAGGAAAAGCTAAGTGAGAGGACGCAGACCACCACCACCATCAGAGAAACAGAGAACAAGAGAAGAGGGGGGAATGGAGCTAGGCAGTTAACAGCTCTGTTTTTAGAAGCCTCTTGGCCCTGAAGAACTGCGGCCTTGCTCAGGTGGCAGCAGGGGCAGGGCCTGCAGGTGGGGCAACCAGACACCTGGTGTGCTCAGGACAGCCCGGGCTTAGGGCCGCCGCCCTGGCACAGTGCTTGGCAGCATATCGTTCAGTTCTCACAGTGTCCTGGTTGGGTCATTGTCATGCATTTATGTTAACCACAGTTTGCATCTCTGATTATAACAAATTCTCCCACTGAACGACACATACAAACCCTGTTCTGATTTCTGGTCCCGAGAGTCACACAAAATACCACGAAAAACCTGAACACAAGTCGTCGGTCATTCTTTTACACAAGAAGTCAAGAGGAAACTAAGCTGACCTCTTCTCTTCAAACACACTTCTCCCTGGAGCAGCAGCACCGCGCCTCCCCTCTCACGGCCCCTCGCGTCTACAACGGAACCCGAGAGCCCGAGCCCCCGACATTTCACAGCAACACGAGCAAAGCAGCCAGGGGCTCCGACAGAGGCCGCTGCAGAGCTCTGGACTCAGCACCCACACTATCTGCGACGTGCACAACCCGCCACAGCACTCACAACTCTCAGCAGTCCGGAGAGGAGAGAGGAGAGAGGTGTGGCTGGGAGAGGAGCTGGGCAGTGTGCAAATGACCTCACACTTTCTATCATCAAGTCCACAATACTCACTTTGACTGAATATATCTCTGCCAGGAAAAAATAAATAAATAAACTTCATACAGGTTGGAGAAATGCTTTTAAGGAATGCTTTCATATTAATTCCTGTTTATAGAAATACTTTCCATTACACATTTATAACAAACATACACAAACATTTTTTAAAAATCTGGAAGGCAGAAAGTCAGGGCTGCCTGATGAAGGCCTAAGTAGGTTCACTGATGGACTTGTTCACAGGAAGAACTGGAAAAAGGGGAATAGACGCCCTGGCCAGGTAGCTCAGTTGGTTAGAGTGTTATTCCTATATGCCAAGGTTGCGGGTTCAATACCCAGTCAGGGAGGCATACAAAAATCAACCAATGAATGCACAAATAAGTGGAACAACAACAACAAAAATCCATGTTTCTCTCTCTGTCTCTAAAAATCAATAAAAACAGAGGGACTAGAGATGCTGTCACATGACTAATATAGTGAATGTCTGTCTGTCCAGAGCTCCATGTGTATGAAGAAAGGATATGGAATAATTTTAAAATGAACAGGCTAGCTCTGGCCGGTTTGGCTCAGCGTTTGGAGAATCAGCCCACACACTGGAGAGGCCCACTAAGGGCACGTACCTCTGTTGCAGTTTGTCCCCAGTCCCAGTTAGGGTTGTGTGGATGGCAACCACTCAATGTGTCTCTCTCACGTGAATGTTTCTCTCTCTCTTCCTCCCTCTCTCCCTCTCACTCTGTCTGAAGATAAATGCAACAAAAATGTCCTTGCGGGAGGATAAAAGAAATAGTAATAGAAATAAAGTAAAATAAAATGAACAGGCTAGTTCAATTCACAATATTATTAAAAAGAATAAAATACTTATGAATAAATTTAACAAAAGAAGTGCAAAACTTATACTCTGAAAACTCTAAGGCACTGTTGATAGAAATAAAAAAATCTCTGTAGATGGAAAAACATCCCATGCTCACGGTTAGGAAGGCTCAACACTGTCAATATGGCAATACTTCCTGAACTGATCTAAAGATCCAACATGATCCCCATCAGAGTCCCAGCTGATTTCCTCGCAAAAACTGACAAGATGATTCCAAAATTCATATGAAATTTCAAGAGATCCAGAATAGCTAAAACAATCCGGGGTAGGGGATATTCACACTTCCGGATTTCAAAACAACAGAACCAAGTATAACCAGACAGATAGCAGATGGAATGAAAGTGGAGGGCAAACATACCCATACATCCATAGTGAAATGATTCCCAACAAGGCTGCCAAAACCATTCACTAGTGGAAAGAACCCTGTGCTTTGTTTTATTTTTCAAAAACTGGTGCTGAGACAACTGTCTTGTCACATGCAAAAGAATAAAGCTGAACCCTTGAGCCACATCATAAGCACAAGTTAACTAAAAAATATCAAAGATCTAAATAGAAGTGCTAAATACCTACATGTAAAACTTAAGACTCTTAGAAGAAAACACAGAGGAAGGTCTTCACAGTCTTGGATTTGGCAAGGGATTACAAAATACAACACCAAAAGCACAGATAACAAAGGAAAAATAGGTAAAATGGACTTCAGAACACCAGCAAGAGAGTGAAAAGAGAACCTACAGAACAAGAGGAAGTATCTGCAAACCATATATCTGACAAGAGACTTGGACCTAGAATATTGACTCTGACAACTCACTAACAGACAGCCCAACTGAAAACAACAACAACAAAGGACACGGACATTTCTCCAAAGACGTACAATGAAAAAAGATACTTGACATCTTTAGTCATCAGAGGGTAAATTCAAACCAAAACCACAATGAGATCAATTCCCAAGCGGGAGAAAAAGAGAGTCAGGTAACAAGAAGTGATGGTCAGGGTGTGGGGAAACCAGAACCCACACTATTGATGAGAATGTGTAATAGCCCAACTGTTCTGAAAATCAGTCTGGCAGCTCCCTAAACAAGTCGACAAAGAGTGATCACTATGATCCATCAACTCCACAATCCAAGTGTCTATCAACAGATGAAGACATAAACAAAATGTAGTCTCCCCACACGAGTTGTACGTGCCCATAAAGAAATGAAGTACTGACACATGCTACAACACGGACGAGCCCTGAAACACTATGTGGAGTAAAAAAATCAGTCACGAAGGACCCCATATCATATACTCCATTCATATGAAAGTCCAAAGTCCAGAGGAGGGAAATCTACACAGAAAGTTAATTACTCTTGGCAAAGGGGTAAAAATAGTTCACAACCTATGCTTGGTGTATGACTAAAAGAACCATCATTTATCCCTAGGAACTAAAATTAAAAAATGTATCTGCAAAATAGTTAATCAAGTATTTTGCTCTAAAATTCAAATTATTTTTGAATCGTCAATAATAAAAGCTGTCAATCCATACTTACTAGAATCGGGCATAATGCGAAGGTCACCTTCTTTGTAATCATCTAAGAGTTGATACATGTACAGGACAGGGTCTTTCTCGTAGGTGATGTAAAACCATGTGTTCATTATTGGGGCACGTGCTAAGACCATTCCCCTCCACTCGTCTTTGGAGCCGTCCTCTGTCTCAAACATGTGCTCTACCGCTTTGCCAATCATTGTGTCGGCTAAGTGTGCATCGCTGATTCGAGATGTTGCTAGAGACAAAAAAAAGCAAGGGATTTTACTGAATATATACTGTGCAAACTGAACTTATGCAAAGACACTACCTGGAATGCTGTCCACACGATACCCTAGCCAGCATCAGAATCACCTGATGGGTTTTTAAGAACAACCAGCCCAGATTTGATGCCATCAGAACTATTTTATTGCCCCAAGTCAGTCATTTTCCAAATGATTTTTCCTTTTAATTCATCTGCTCTTGGTACTGTATCAAAACTAGGACTTTTATTCATTCAAGGTATAACATTTTTGTGATTGTTCCATTATTAAATTTTAAGATAATGACAGATTTATAGAAGAGTTGCAGAAATACTAGCATTCCAATATACCGTTCAACAACTTTCCCTTTATATTACCATCTTAATAAATAACCACAGACTGTTTATTAAAACTAAGAAATTAGCCTATTCCAGGCACTCTTGCTCCTTCAGTCTGTTTCCACATTAATCAGAGTGACCTTGGTGGCAGTTATACTGGATTGTGCTGTTCATTTGCTTAAAATGCACCAGTCTTTTCCTTTTATAATTTGAATAACAATCTGCTCCTCACAGGCCCTCTTCCTTCCTATTCTGTCACCTTCCTCCTGACTGCTCGCACCTCAGAGACATAGGCATCTTTCTCTTCCCGGGACGCTGTCTGCTCTCCTCATCCAGGCTGTGTGCGGCCCACACCTTCAGGGTCGGTTCCTGAAGCAGGTCTCGTCCCAGAGGCTCTGCAGGACTACGCCAGTGAACGCAGTACCCTAGTCAGTCACCTCACCCAAATGACATTTATTCTTAATGTCATTTACCACTATCTACAGTCATCCTGTTCCACGTGTTCACTCGCTTTTAGCCTGCAAGCAAGGGCCCTTCCCATCCTGTTTCCAGTACCCCGCTCACAGTGGCTCCATATTTGTTGTACAAATTAGTTACTTCAGACAGTGGGCTGCCCCAGACAGCCCGTGTGGTTGAGAGCACAGCCTCCCCACTGGTGCGTCCACAGCCCTCTGCAGCCCGGCCCCACCTGCTTTAAAGAGGTGGCAAAAACTACAGCTTCATGTTTCTACAACTGGGAAACTATGAAGATTCTTACTGATTATAAGGTTTGGCCTCAGTTCTAGACAAAAAGTCTTTAAAATAAATTAGCAACCCTATTTTATTCGTGATTGCTTTTCTTTCTGTTAAATAAAATTCAAAGGAACAAAGATTAGAATTTCTTGGTAAAGATGCTGCTTATCCAATTTATCAAGACATTCTAAAAACATGCGGTGGTTTTCTTTGCTTAATTACAGGATAATTAATAAAAGTACACAGAATTCCCCACTGTGCATAATGTTAAAACAAAGTCCCACGAGTTCCTTCAGACCAAAAGTTCTCAAACTTCTAATCTCAGAACTACTTCAAATTCTTAAAAATTTTTGAGGACCCAAAAGAGCATTTGTTTATATGGATGACAACTATCAATATAAACTATTTTTAAAATTATAAATGGTCAATCTAAAAACATTTACTTAAAAATATCTACATGAACATATTTTTAATGAAAATAACTATCTTTTAATAAAAACTTAATAAGAAAAGTGCCCTAATAGTGAATTTTTGCAAATCTCTTAATGTCTTGCTTTAAAAAAGGTCAGCTAGATTCTCATATCCAGTTAGCATTCAATCTGTCATATTTTCTTCTGAAAGATATGTGTTGAAAAGTAGTAGCATTCTATTTATCTTTCAGACAGTTCTTGATATCCTTTTATCACAATGTGTCAGAACTGAGCACGCAGTAGCTCCTTACATGTCACTGGCAACGTAGACTCCAAAGTCATCATCAATAACTTGTCATACTGTTATTTAAATTAAAACTCATTTATCTCCAGTATATATAAAAACTCCTACAACTCAAAAACAAAATAATCAAATAACATGATAAAAAAAATGGGCAAAGGCCCTGGCCGGTTTGGCTCAGCGGTTGGAGTGTCAGCCTGTGGTCCAGAGAGACCCGGGTTCGGTTCCCGCTAAGGGCACGTACCTCGGTTGCAGTTTGTCCCTGGCCCTGGTTGGTCGTGAGGGTGGCAGCCACTCGATGTGTTCCTTTCACGTCGATGTTTCTCTGTCTCTCTCTCTCTCTCTCTCCCTCCCACTCTATCTGAACAAAAAATGGAAAAATGTCCTTGGGTGAGGATTAAAATAATAATAATAATAATAATAATAATAATAATAATTTTTTTTTTAAATGGGCAAAGGACTTGAATAGACACTTCTGCTAAAATCCCATACCAATAATCAAAAGGATGCCCCAAACCACTAATAATCAGAGAAATGCAAATTAAGACCAACAGAAAATAACGAGCATGGGTGAGCAGATAGACAAACGGGAGCCCTGGTGCAGTTGGTGGGACCGTGACATGTTACCAACACTGTGGAAAACAGTACCTGTATGTACGGAGCCCAGAAAACTAAACAAAAAAGTACCATATGATCCAGTAATTCCATTTCTGGGTATATACCCCAAAAATCTGCAAGCAGGGTGCTGAAGGGATATTTGTATACCCATGTTCATAGCAGCACTGATCACAGCAGCCAAAAGGTTGAAGCAACGCCAAGTGTGCACGCACGGGTAAACAAGGATGCTCCACACATGCAATGGAGCGGCATTCAGCCTTAAAGAGAAAGAACAGCCTGACATGCTGCAACATGAATGAACCTTGAGGACATTATCCTAAGAAAAAGAAGCCAGTCACAAAGACAAATGTCATATAATACTTATGAAATATATAAAATAATCAAATTCACAGACACAGAAAATAGAATGGTGCGTTAAGGGGAGAGAGTTGACTAAAGAGGATAGAATTCGATTCACAAGATGGGAAAGTTCTGAAGATCTGTGTCAACAACGTGAATGTATGTAACTACTGAGCTGGGCCTTAAAATGGCCAAAGTAGTAAATTTTATGTTGTGTGTTTCTTACCCAATAAAGTCTGTTGGTTTTGCCCTGGCTGAGTGTTCAACAGGTTGGGCGTCATCCCAAACACCAAAAGACTGAAGGTTCAATTCCTGAGCAGGGCTCACACCCAGTTATGGGTTCGATCCCTGGTCAGGGCACACATGGGAGGCAACCGATCAATGTTTTTCCCATGGATGTTTCTGTCTTCCATCCTCACTCTCTAAAATCAATAAAAATATGTCCTCGGGTGAGGATTAAAAAAAAACAGTCTATTGGTCTTTGAATGGATCTTTTACAAATACATGATTTGGGATGGGGGGGCGAATACATGATTTGGTAATGTCATGCACTGTTCATATAGACAATACAGGATGAGGCAAGCAGGTTTCCAGTTAATACAAGAATAAACTCTGTGTTTTGTGTACTCACACTGTAAATCTTCTCTTCCCCACCTGACTGTGTTTGTTGAGTCACGCAATTCTACCAAACAGTGGGAAACCCCAGTGTGTAATTGTGAATGATAAGAGAGTAAAGCCCTGGCTGGTTTGGCTCAACGGTTAGAGCATTGGCCTGTGGACCAATGAGTCTCAGGTTCAATTTTGGTCAAGGGCATGAACCTCAGCTGCACTTTGTCCCCAGCCCTGGTCAAGGTCACACAGGAGGCAGTCAGTCAGTGTGTCTCTTTCATGTTGAGGTTTCTCTCTCACTCTCTCTCTCCCTCCCTCCTACTCTATCTGAAGATAAATGAAAAAATATCCTTGGGTGAGGATTAAAAATAAAGACAAGTTCTATCTTATTATGAAAATCAACTTCACAAACCTCCTGAATGGGCTTCAGGAAACCTCAACAGTCCCCATACTTCAGGAACTATTATTCTGTGCCATCACATGCTTTTAGGCTGAGTGACATACTTTTTCTCCACCTTTAGCTTAAGGAAAACACAATTATAACTACAGTCTAATGTACTGCCTGAAACAAATTAACAGAGTTTCTGGAACTACATGGAACATATTTTTCAGACTAGAGTATCATAGGGAATAGTATAATTGGCTATTAATTAAATTTGGCACGTGATATATTGCTGGTTTGCAGAGGACTTGCATTGCCTTTGTTAAATTGCTTTGCTGTTTTTACAATCCCAATTCCATGCCTACTGTTGGAAACTGAGATAGTCCAGAACTATAAAGAAAAACACTAAGAAATTCTTAATCCTATCTCCAGATTTCCAGAGATCAATTTTTTGGGATGTTTGTTTTTTGTCTTTTCAAATCAAGATAAAAGTATTTTTTTCTGTCCTATGATGACAAAAGAACTAACACAGGCCATGCAGCAAAACGCAGTGACTTTTCAATGAGCTAGCAGAGACTCAAGTTTTGGGTCAGAAAAAGAATCCACGATAATTGCTTATGACAAATAATTGACACAAAGGTGTGGATAATATTTTCTTAAGCCCACCCTGGCCGGTTTGACTCAGCAGTTAAGAGTCGCAGGTTCGATTCCAGTCAAGGGAGCATTACCACAGCTGCCATTCAATCTCTGGCCCTGGTTGGGGTTGTGTGGGAGGCAAGCGATAGATGTGTCTCTCTCATGTCGATATTTCTCTCCCCCCCCCCACTATATCTGAAAAATCAATGGAAAATACCCTCAGCTGAGGATTTTTTTTAAAAATTTTTTTCTTAAGCCCTGAAGGTGCGAGTAATCTATGTTAGGTTCTGAGGTGGGAAATGGACTAATGTTAAGATCAAGAGGAAATAGAGGGTGTGCCTCATGAGGAAAAGTAAGTTGTTCAGTTGCACTTAGAATAGATTAAAATGTTTAAAAATGCCAAAGATTTACTATTACACAATTAGGTACCTTTGGGAATAATTTAAAGAACGAAACTGAACCATGCTTATACAAAATGAGTCAAGACCTAACATTTGCTGGCTATCTGAAGGGAAGATGAACAAAAAACCTGCTGTTGGCAAAGATTTAACTTGCTGGGGGAAGCGGGTGTCCCAAGAAGACAATGGCAAAAACAAAGGGGACGAGGGGACTGGATAAGCCAAGCTTCTTCCCTTGACAATGTGATCCCAAAACGTCCACCCTTGAAGCCCAGACCTGCGGAGGCTACATCTGTTACTGCATGGTCCAAAGCATGAGCAAGCATTCGAGCAGCAGCAGCGTCACAGTGATTCATAGCAAGACAACATTTCACAGTAAATACTCTGAAGAAAGTAACATTCATTTGGGTACATCCTAGTGATATTAAAAATAAAATGAGTCATTATTATTTACTGACACCTTATGTCTTAAGGCATTTAAATTATGCAAAGTAAAACCAACGCTGTATGAGTTTTTTTAAAAGAGCTTCTTATTTCAACAAATACTGTACAAACACAGACCCTAAGGAATGTATAATGAAGTTCATGTTCTGGTTGCTTAAATTTTGGCTGAGAGTACAATTATCATTTACGTAGTAACGCAGAATGGAAGATACATTTCACATAAAAATTCCAAAATGTGTAAGATTTTTCTTAGCTGTTATAATCCAATGAAATAAACACACGATATTTGAGCTAATGAGATATTCTTACCCATCAAAGTGCAGATAAACAGTAAACAAAATGTGAGAAATAACCATATTAAAACTTCCTGGGGCACAATCTTATACATCTTGGGGCGGGGCAAAAGTAAGTTTAGAGTTGTGAGTGACACTCCTCTGCAGTAACAAAGCCCCTGGGAGAATCACACCTGTATGTGTCTCCACAGGAGCTGTGAACCTGCTTCACCTGCCCTGGATTCCACCCCATTCTGTGAACTGCAGCTCTAGATCACGCCCTGATCTGTTTCTGTGGTATCAGGTGACTGATTTAAAATACAGAGTGTTTGTACTCCAAAAAAGTAAAAATACCAATAATACAAAAGAATAATCAGAAGGCATCCATAAGTAATTATTTTTAAAGCATATAAACACAGAAATAGTAAAGAGAACTTACCAACTCTATCAGGGAGGACTTCAAGCGCAGAAACTCTTTCATCTTTATTAAGTTCTAGTCCATAAACACAGTCAAATCCATCGTATTTTATAAGATACAGAGAAGGGTTTACAGGCACCTGGTCCAGAACGGTTCCTTTCCACTGGGTGACAGGGCCACTGCCCTCCTTCCACCCATGCTGAATCCTGCAGCCTACGATGTTCCGCCGAGGCTGGGACACGGGCTTGCTCGGCCCCACACTGCTCCGGTGTTTTCTGTATTCACACATACACACGTAAGGTGTCAGCTCAAAGGCACACACTAGACCCAACACAACTACTAGCATGCTCTCCCTAGACGACCCAACCGTGCTGGCCAGTCAGCCACTCAGGCAGTCCCACAGCCATGCAGCGTGGCTCACAGGAGTGGCCCTTCTCTACCCCATGTGAGCACACAGTGGGTTGGCAGTAGGAGCTTCTTGTGTACCCCAAGTGTGGACAGGCAGAAAAATTTGACTATTCAGTAGCATCTCAAGCCCCCACATCAAGTATCAATTTTTCAGCTGAGTACCCTAATACAATCAACTCACAATTATCCCAAATAATCAAAGAAAGAGATACATGTATATGGCCTTATAGAATAAATCCATTTCTAGTAAAAAAAAAAAAAAAAGAATAGCCCTGGCAGGTGTGGCTCAGTTGGTAGAACACTGTACCATGCATAGAGAGGTGGCCGGTTCAATCCCCAGTGGGAGTCGTGCAGGAGGCAGCCAATCAATCTCAATCTCAATCTCAATCTCTCTCTCTCTCTCTCTATCTCTCTCCTCTCTCTCTGTCTCTCTCTCCTCTCTCTCTGTCTCTCTCTCTCCCTTGGGGGTGGGGGGGATCAATAAAAATTAAAACATAAAAAAATAACTATTTAATTTAATCCATTCAAATGCTCAGATAATTCTGCCACAACCCGCCCCTCCCCCAAATCCCTGGCTTAAACAGTAAAAATAAACTAGACATTGAACTTTAAACTGGACATTAAACTGGAGTCCAGACTGACTTACATCCATGCATTATACTATCATTACTTCTCTAGAAAACATATAATCTTAAACACTTAAATTTGTGACAAATACTTAAATATTAAAAATTACTGGAACAACACCAAACTACATTCTTTCCGGATTATTAACAATGGGAAAATCTACACACGGTGTTTACAAATAATACACCTTCCTCTTGATATCAGGAAAAGTCTTGGTTTCACCTAGATATCCAAAGGTACCCAGTGGGGACAAGACTTGGCCTGAATACAAACTGAAGACCAAAGCCGCGGGGCACCTGGATGCTGCTCTATGCCAAGGAGGAGAAACCTGAGCGAGAGGAGAGCATTCCCCACCGACACTTTATGGGCACAGGGCTCTCTCTCACTGCTCTACAACGAATGAAAGTGACGAACTACTGGCATAAACACAAACACACTTTTGAAAAAGAACAAGTTATTTATTGTACGCTGTAATAAAACTACAATTGTATATATTTTAAATAGACCAGTTTGGCAAATTTACTGAGTTACATGGAACAGAAATAGGTTGGAACAAACCACTGGGACTGCCCTGATGAGGCCTGAAATGTCACCTAAGCAAGATGCAGAACACCATTTGGAGCACACTTCTGGAGGAAAACACCAGTCAGACTGAGAGAGGTCCAAGCGGTTCCATGTAATACCATTTGGAGCACACTTCAGGAGGAAAACACCAGTCAGACTGAGAGAGGTCCACGAGGTTCCATGTGGGTTGTGAGGAGACCAGGAATGCCAGGGCTGCCCCTGCCCTCCAGGCTCTGCAAACACCCAGCAAAACTGCCTTCCAGGAAGGCAGAGCCTGCGACCGAGGACGCACTGCTGGGGGCAACATCCTAAATGAGAAGGACAGGGACACAGGACAAAGGAAAAGAGGTTCAGAGGTTATGGACAAGTCCCAAAGGCTGCGGACCTCAAAAGGTCTGACTGAGACTAGTCACAGGAAAGAAACAGCTGAGAGCGGTGAGGACAGCTGGCCTAGAAGGGTCTCACCCTCCCCGTGGACAGGAGAGCAGGAGAGGGTCACAGTGGGGCCAACACAGGGTGACACTGTAACAGTCAGAACGATGCACCAGCAGGCGATGGAGGCAGACCCACAAGGTGCTCACAAGGTAGAGGAAACTACCAGCTAACATCAGGCACACACGGAGGCCATGACAGAGGCCTTACCTCAGAAACAGGACGGCCACACCTGACATGAGGAAAATCAGCCACAGGTCAGGAAATAAGTAGCATCTAAAAACTTTTGGAAATGAAGACTGAACAAGAAAAGAAACAGACATTATGGGACACATAAGGGAAACAGAACACGAAAAGAAGACAGATGAGGCAAAAAATATGAAGAATTAAGAGATGCTGACAGATAAAAAATTTCAACTTCTACATTAACAGAACTACCCAAAAACTAAAATCGAAGAAACAGAACACTAAAATAATTCATGAACAATTTACAAATGCACCCCTGGGAAAGGTGACCTAGAACTACTGACACTAAGACATTCTAGTAAAACAAATGTACTTTGAAGAAAACAACACCTCTTAGGCACCCGGGCAAAAGAACTACATTGTGTCAGGGAAAGGAAATCAGAATGTCCCCATGACACTGTGCCACAGACAGTGGAGTGACGAACTTCAGGTCCTCAGGAAAGAAAATGTAGCCAGAGGTCTTATAATCAGCCATGAGTACTATACTGACTGCGAAGTGAAGGCCACAAAGCTGTGAGCATGTGAGAACTTGGGGGAACACTGTTCTCACAGATGCTTCCTGCAGAAGTCACAGGACAGCTTCAGATACCAAGGACCGCTTGGGAAAGATTCAGCACGGGGCCAACAGTAAGCCATGAATACATAAGACGACGACCATATAAACGGAGCAGCAGAGAACAGCGACTGGCAAGTCCACAGCAGCGTTTCCAGCCTGGTTGCTCATCCCTCCTCACTCGCTGGTGGTGTTCTCGGAGATGTGCAGCTGTTCCTTGAAGACGGGCACCGATGTGCCTTCACTTCCCATGTCCGAACAGCCAGTGTTCTCCCCGCTCACCTTCGAGGTGCTCACCAGGCTGCCTCTCCTCCCTCGCCTGCGCTTTACAGAGGACTCGCAGGCTTGTGGGCGTTGCTGTTCCAGGGGCTCCTGCAGCTTCTTATTATGAAGACCTGACCCTTTTTTTTCTTTTAATCTTTATTGTCGAATGTAGAATGTATTACCGATGTTCCTCATTTTTCCCCCATTGACGCCCTCCTCACACTCCTGCCCCCTTCCCGCCTTTTCCCACACTATTGTGTCTGTGTCCATTGGTTATGCATATAAGTTCTTTGGTTTATTTCTTCCCACCCCCCAACCCCTTTCCCTTTGAGGTTTGTCAGTCTAGCAATGAATTTGTACTTCTTAATCCCTTCACCTTTTTCACCCATTCCCCCAATCCCCCTCCTAACTGGCAACCAACAAAATGTTCTCTATATATATGAGAATGTTTCTGTTCTGCCTGTTCATTGTGTTTGTAGATTCCGTTGTCAATAAATATGTATTCATTGCCATTTTGTTTGTTCATATATTTTATCTTTTTCTTCAAAAAAACCCTTCATCATTTCATATAATAACGGTTTGGTGGTGATGAACTCCTTTAACATTTTCTTGTCTGGGAAAGTCTTTATATGACCATCGATTCTAAATGACAGCTTTGCAGGATAGAGTAATCTTGGTTGTAGGGTCTTGCTTTTCATCACTCTGAATATTTCTTGCCACTCCCTTCTGGCCTGCAAAGTTTCTTTTGAGAAATCAGCTGACAGCTTATGGGAACTCCCTTGTAGGTAACTAGCTGCCTTTCTCTTGCTGCTTTTAAGATTCTCTTTGTCTTGAAACTTTTGCATTTTGATGATGATGTGTCTTGATGTGGACCTCTTGGGGGTTCATCTTATTTGGGACTCTCTGTGCTTCCTGGACTTGTATGTCTGTTTCCTTCACCAAGTTAGGAAAGTTTTCTGCCATTATTGTTTCAAACAGGTTTTCGATTTCTTGTTCTCGCTCTTCTCCTTCTGGCACCCCCAAGATGCGAATGTTGGCACGCTTGAAGTTGTCCCAGAGGCTCCTTACACTATCCTCATTTTTTTGTATTCTTTTTTCTTTTTGCTGTTCTGATTGGGCGTTTTTTGCTTCCTTATATTCCAAATCGATGGTTTGCTTCTTGGATTTATGTACTCTACTATTGAATCTGTGTAAATTATTCTTTATTTCAGCTAATGCCTCCTTCATTTCTGACTGTGCATCCATCCATCATTTCTGACTGGTCCTTTATTATGCTCTTGAGGCCCTCACTAAGTTCACGGAGGTTCTCACTAAGTTCATTGAGCATCCTTATAAGCAGTATTTTGAACTCAGCATCTGTTAGGTTGCTTATCTCCCTTTCCCTTAGTTCTTTTATTGGGGTTTTGTTCTGTTCTTTCATTTGGGACCTGTTTCTTTGTATCCTCAATTTGGCTGCCTCTCTGTGTTTGTTTCTGTGTATTACTTAACGAGAGGTATGGGGCTATCTGAGACCAGATGCTGCTTGTTTGAAAGAATTTAGGAAAAACCTGAAGCAGGATCCAAGACTGGCCAATCCTATGGTTAAGCAAGTGGCAACAGCTTGGGTGGGCCTGAAAGTTGGGTGGCGGGGCGGGGCCACCAGTGTGAGCCAGGTTGCTGGAGTCCCAGATATGGCGACTATCTGCCGCCCCAGGTAAGGGCTCACTTTCAAAGGAACAAAGGCCTCTGACAGCACATTTGTCCCAGAGAAAGCCCCCTCTCCAGCCCTTGCTCCAGTGCCAAACAGCTCAGTTCTTCCCTGTATGTCTCTGGCGCCCCTCGAGCTGCCTCCCCTCCAAGCTCAGAGGGAGAGAGTCCGATAAGTCCGTGCGCGGGCCCTTTAAGGAGCTGCCTGGGGCTCCAGCCACCTCAGCCTCCCTGAGCCTTAGTTCCTGCTGGTTTTTCCAGCCAGAATTATGGGGATTCTCTTCCTGGCACTGGAACCCTGAGCGGGGCACCTGGTGTGGGACAGGGACCCCTCAGTCCTCAGGAAGGACCTTCCTAGCCGAGGTGTCCTCCTGATTTTTATCCACCACACGCGGGTGTGGGACCAGCCCGTCCGCCTCCGCCCTCCTACCAGTCTGGATGTGGCTGCTGCTTTAATTCCGTAGTTGTAGGACTTCCATTCAGCTTGATTTCAGG